GCTTACGAAATATAATTTTTATTTCGCTATTAAGATACTTATTAAATAGATTAATCTCTTTTTATATATCTCGTCATCTAATTATATTAATAAAAGAGTTAAAAAAATAGTCTCAATTAATCTTTTATTAATAGCGAAACTATCGCTATTATAATTAATATAATAATTTTATTAAAATATTAATTTCGCGTAATAATAGAATCTCGATTTATGAAAAAAGAAATATATTCGATTTAAAGTATAAGAAATTAAGTTAATATTACTCTATTTAATATTATACTTTAGAATAAAATATAACTTTATACTCTATAAGAACTTTATATAATTCTAGCGAGTAGTATTCTTTTTATTAACTAGTTTTCTAATAAATAAATTCTTTCGAATAGAGATTATAATCTTATTTATCTCTTTAATTATATAAGTAATAAGCTAATACTCTATTATAATATAACTCTACTCGCTATTAAAAGACGAGATATATATCTAAAATATTATAATTATTCGAGTCTAGAATAAGTAAATAAGAAATTTATCTAATATTTAGAAATTATTCTTTTTTACTAGCTCGATATTCTTTTAATTTTAAAAGTTCTAAATATATCGTAAATATAATGAATTATTAGATTTATAATTTATTTACTTAGTTTTCTAAGAATTACTAACTTAATTAACTATTTTTAAATTAATCTTATTAATCTTTTCGAGATTAAATAATAAAGTACTCTTTTAATAAACTTTATAAATAATTATTAAATAAATTATTTTAATATAAAATAGAGATAATATAGATATTAATTAGATTATTTAATTAAAATTAGAAGCCTCTTACTTAGTATAATATTATTTAATACTTTATAATTAAGCGAATATAAGCTAATTATTATATATAAGATATAGATTAATACTTTAATAGAGATCTTCTTATAAAATTTTAATTTACTCTATATAAATATTCTTAATAATCTTAAGATTTTCTTTTATAATACTCTTATTAATATTAATAAAATTAAGAAAATAACTCTTAATCTTATAAAGAGATAGTTTATTTATCTTTAATATATAAATAGTTAACTTATCTTTATATAATATATATTATTATATAAAAAAGATATTATAAATAATAAGATAAATAAGATAATTAATATATTAAAACGATTTAATTAGTCTATATCGCTTATAATATAATATACTCTTATCGAGAGATTATCTTATTTATTAATAAGTATTATCTTTATATAATCTAGATATATTTAATATATAACGTAAATTTAAAGATTTTAAGTAATTTATTATAGAGGCCTTTAATTTATTAAGAGATATATTATCTTCTTTAATAATATAGCTAATAACTATTAACTTTAACTTTTTATTACTATTTATTCTCTATTTCTTAACTCTCTATATTTATTTTAAATTATTATACTATATATAGTAATTATTAAAATTAATATAAATTAAATTTAATTAATATCTTTAGCGCTAGATTTTTAAATATACTATAAGATTCTTTAATAAAGTATAATTAACTTAAATTTATTATAAAGCTCTAAAATTAATTATTTAACTCTATATAAATATATAAGAATATTTAATTAGATAGAGATTAAGCTAGCTTTAATCTTTTATTATTAAAAATATATAATACTAAATAGTATAGTAATAAATTCGAATTAAGATTATTTAAAGTTTTTCTTTTTCTTTATATACTAGAACTAAATAATAATTAATAAGAGACTAATAAAATATAATACTCTATCCTTAATCGCATTATATAATTAATTAAAATTTATATTATAAAGTCTATTTAAATTATTTATTATCTATTATTTAAAAAGATTTAAATTATTAATTATAAGAATCTTACTATATAGTAAATTCGAAATTTACTTTATTTTCTCTAGTATAATCTTTTAATAACTCGACTAAATACGCTTAATAGACTTATTAGCTAAACTATTCTTTAATAAAGTATTAAATAAAAAATTATCTTTAATATAAAGTTTTATAAGAAGATTATATTATAGAGAATAACTAGCTATAGCCCTTCTCTATTTATATTTTTATATATCTCTTAATAACTTATAAATACTTAGCTCTTTCTTTAATAGTATATCTATAATATTCTTAATCTTTCTAATTCTTATTTTCTTTAACTTTCTCTTTTTAATTATAATAATTATCTTTAATAAGATATTACTTCTTCGCTTATTATTTAAATACTATATTAATATAAAAAAAATATAAAAATTTAATATATATTTATAGATAGATAAAGTAAGCTCTATAGCGATAATAGATAAATTAGATATTAATTAATAATATAGAAAATAATTAAAGATAAGATCTACTTAATAAGATCTAGAGATTCTTATTAAGATCTCGCTAAGACCTCGCTAAGATCTCTTCTTAATAAAATCTCTTTTATATTTAAACTAATTATTCTTTATTAATTTATCTTTTTATCTTATTAATCTTCTAATTAATTATAATCTTTCTCTTTTTATTTAATATTATTTAAATTAGAATTATTATATATAATAGGCTTATTATACTCTATCTTATTATATTACTCTTCTAAATAAATCTCGTATATAAAGATTTATTAATAAACTATTTAACGATATATTTCTAATATAATTTAGCTATTTAATATACTATATATAAAGAATATAATTATAAAGCTCTATCGTTATTTTAATTTTTTTTATATAATCTTATATAAGAAGGTTTTATTAAAAAATTTTAAAGTAAAAAGAAATATTACTTAATTTTTAATCTTCTTTAATAAGAAATATATTAATTACTAATAAATCTAAAGCTTAATATCTTCTACTATTTTTTTAAAATTATAATATTAAAATAACTAAGCGATATTCGATTAGATTATTTATAATAACGACGTAAATCTTTCTATATTTAAAGACGTCTTTTTCTATATTCTATATATCTATAAGAGACTTTAACGTTATATAAGATATTCTTATTTATTAATATCGCCGCTATTAATATCTAACTTTATATTAAAAGAATAAATTATCTTCGCTTCGCTCTTCGCTCTACTCTTCGTAAGTTCGATTATTTATTTATTTATATATATCGCCGTAGCGATACTCTACTTACTTACTTACTTACTTATTTACTTACTTACTTACTTACTTACTTACTTACTTACTTACTTACTTACTTACTTACTTACTTATTTATTTATAAAAATTACCGCGATAATAAGTTATCGCGGCGATACTCTACTTACTTACTTACTTACTTACTTACTTACTTACTTATTTATTTATTTATTTATACTTATTATCGCGATAACTCTTATAAGTCTAGTTATCTAAAAAATAAAGAGAAATTATAAAAAATAAAGAAAGATTATAGCGTCTAATTAAAGTAATAAACTAATTAATAAGACTACGTATTTTCTTTAATATATTATATTATTAGTTCGACGAGTATTATAGCGGTTATCTCGAGGATTAATATATTATAAAGGAATTCTTATATAATACTACGCGTTTATTAAGATATATAACGTTCTTAAGTATTAATATCGCTACTATAATTAAGTTAGCTAAGTTTTTTAATAGAATAAAATTAAAAATTTACTTTTTAACTATTATATTATAGCTTCTAATTTAATAAAAGCCTATTTAACTATTTATTTAACTTTTTTTAAGAATTCTAAAAAAGGTTATATCACGTAGTTACGCATTTTTATTAAGGATCATATATACGCAGGGTGTGAATATTATATATCGGGCAATACACCAAAAAAATAAGTCTTGGTAGGGTTTCCTGCTCAGACCCACTGCGTGGGGCCACTGAGACTAGCAAATACGTGGAGTAAGCGAGCGGTACGTCAGCATACACTACTTTATTGTAGGATCCTATGTACCTCTGAGCCTCTTACTCACGATCGCTCTACTCTACGCCAGTTCCTTGGACGTCTTGTGCCCTCCAAGTTCCCGTATGCTTAGCCTTTCTTGCCCCACGATTTCGATATAGGCGCGCTTGTCGCGTAAGACCAAGTCAAGTCTCAGGTGAGAGTTTCAATATGTACTCACCCGTTGTTCCCTACCCGTTATTATTATTCTCTTACTATTTCCTCCTAATCCCTACTAAACTTTGCTGTCCTCTCACCCAGTTGGCGCTTTCGCCCCCCCCCACACAGCCGAGACTCCGAAAGTCAGCCATCTCACATGCGCAGCCAAGGATATGTCCCCGATCCTCATGGGGTGCAAGGGTTACTGCAGTCCAGCTGCTTACAACAATGCCCGGAGGATGTAATTCTCTACCAAACAAGTTTCAAAAAAAAGCTTGCGGCCCAATCCACGTGCTTGATATGGCCACTTCTACCAAGGAGTCAGCCATTGCCCTCCTACCGTCTAATGATGATAATATAGTCTAGCATCTCCCCACTCTCGTTGTGCTCGCCTGAACCAATTCCACCTCATGCATTCTCAACTACAACAAGTTCTGTTACTCCCATTACGTCCATACATTCCGTCCTCTTCGTTTTGTCCATGCCGGTGACCGTCGACGCAATGAGGCGGTCCTCGTCTTTGTTTCCCGCGGCTGCGGTCTTTCTTGTCTTGATCTTGGCTGCTGCTTCGCCCTTGCAACGGTCTCACTTGATGGGAATAGAGGAATCATTATCTTCATTATCAGGATGGAATCCACTGCGTTTGCTGCAGCGGGGATCGGATCTGCCACTGCAGGAAAAGAGGCAAACCGTTAATTGCACGGATCTGTCGGCTGCTTTCAATTCTCAATGCTGGCAAGAACTTCAACTGAGTAACTTTCTTCTGGGAGGAGGGCAGTGGGGAGTAGGCTGGAACAAATCGACTCGAGTTTGCGACAGTCAATCAGCAGATGTCAATAGCAACGACGGCACAAATTGCTGCTTGCCCGGCGAGGCATGGACGACTTGTTTTCTTCGTCTTGCGCAAGGCGGAGGGACACAAGATTGTTCGCAGATTAATGCGCAGTTCTGTTCCATGCCATCGGAGAACGCGTTAAGCGCCGGCCTAGCTGATAGTATCCGGCCAGAAGTCCAATACATACAGAAAAACATCTATGGTATTCTTCTGAACTCATAGCCTCTCTTATGGAATCGTTAGCTAACTCTCGGCTTAGCGCTCAACGATTTCTTTACTACCTATTATAACGCGCTGACAGCCGCCCAAAGCGATGCATCAACGACGATTCAAGGGCTTATTAACGAAGTGGACCCTATCAAACCAGCCACGTTCAACCTCATAACACTCCTGACTGTACTCTCGGTGGGTCTGGCATTCTTGGGAGCACCAAGTATCGCAGTGACAGTGCTCGGACTGTCCTCCCTCGCGAAGTCTGCCGCTCAGGTTTTGACAATCAGTCTGCAGCAAGCGCCTTCCACCGCAAAAGCGCTCTGGCCGACGGGCACCCAGAACTCGCAATCTGTGCAAATCGGCAATCTAGAAGCGGAGCTAGGGAACAGCACAAACCAGCTCGCAGACATGGTCAATAACGCGGTTCAACTGCTCATGAGCGATATGCCAACGTTTGTCAAGTTTGTCGAAAGCGGGCAGTATTCGGGCGCCGAGTCGCTTTCCTTACCCAGCAAAGTCGAGGGCCTCGACTATGCTCTCAGGACTTACATGACCTCGGAAGCGTTTGCCCAAAACGGCTGGGTATCGACGCCTATGATTGGCCCTTTCGAGACCGTGCAAGACGTCGAGAACGCCGTGATGGGAGGTGGCGGTGGGGACTGCACCATGGGCAACAACAGCGTTTGCACCAACGGTCAGGGTTCCGCACTTTTTTGGAGCCAGCCTACGGGACGTGTTTACGCTTTCGCCAACGAGAATGATGCCTGGATAGGCGTTGATGCATATCAGCTACTGCAAGACACCGTTAACAACAACTGGGCCATTCTCCAAGTGCTGTTCGATGGCAGCTTCAATTGCACGCAGGAAGGGAACTTCGGGGATTCGATCGTCAACTTCAACTGGGATGGAACGTTGGACATTGCGTGTATCTCGCAGCTCCCGACGAAGGTTGAGTGCGGAGCAGCATGTCCTGTTCCTCTGATCAACAACCAATGTCCTTTCCCGCCGCTGAATAACGATTGCGACTCGTGATTGGCGAACGTTGAACAGCTTTGACATTGTGTACATATAGCATATCATATCTTTTGGCATTGCATTCTCGCATTGAGCAGTGGCGTTGTTATTTCTGCTTCTCAGGGTGTCGTTGGACAGCTGCGCTGGACTCACCTTCCACGTCTCGACGCATTGCTGGAATTATGGTTGTTCTAGCAGATGTATTCATCTTGTCTCATACATAATCGGTGCAAAATACCACTAGATTAGTTAGCAGGGCAAACAATCAAAAGCAAGCAAGCAGTTTCCCCCACGTCAGCGTCAGCGTCAGCATAAAGGATCAATCCCGGGAATGACTTTACCTTGAAACAATTCACTGCCTCAGTGGCCACGGTACATGCAGAGATGCAGAGATTTAGAACTGAAAGAATTTTCTGCCATTGACCATCCAAAGGAGACGGGACAAACAAGCCTACAAGCTACAAGACATTGTTCCGAGAACACCTGCTACAACTGTGGGGGGAAGCGCAAGAAACATTCAAGACAATAGACACACGCGGCTCAAGATGAAACATATCTCCCGAAATCATCCATGTATATTCTGCACGTCATGCATCTACCGGTACCATTCTAGGCTCCTCCGTACCTTTAGATTGCGGCTCGGCTCTGCTGCTCGATTTGCACACTTTTCTCATTATCATGATGGTGGAGTGCAGGTCTCTGCCATGGCAATGGGTGTCTCTGGATATCCTCGATGAATAGGTAGCTGAATATGTTGTCGAGTACCTCGGAGGATCATTCGTCGATGGCGGGACGATACGAAGACCTAGCGCGGCAGGGACCCAGGTTGATCCAAGCTGGTCGAGGTTTGATTGGGGGTCAGGGAATTGCGAAGGAGAAGTCTCCGGGCGGGGGGTAAAATGCTTAACGATGGAGCAAAGTAGGGATACGAACGAAATGGGCATCAAATGATGGAGACAGGTGATGATTGGGAGGAAGGGTTGGCATTGACTTGCCAATCTTAATACAACTCCAACCTATCGATTTTCGTGGCTCATAAGAAAGTCTTTCCACGTATTTTGATGAAGCGGAAGGGAGAAAGAAAAGAATCGTACTTTAAGGTAAGGTACATATGTTATTACCTCATTACCTCGGTACATCCATAAAGATTACGGCCGAATACCGGTCCTCCGGTAGTCTAGCGCCCGCAGTCATCTGTTGCTCTAAGGTACCTACCGTGCTACCGTACTAAAGGTACTCATACGGTTTACTCGTACCGGACCGCCAGCCCTAAAGTAAGGAAGGTGTGCCGTAAGGTACCTTATGGTCGATCTTTGAAAGCGTCAAGAGCATTAAGGATTACTCGTAAGGATTAATTCACTTGAACTTTGTCAAAAGTACATGTAGGTTGTGGTACTATGCAAATCAGGTCTACAGCAGCTCCAGCAACTCCAGCAACTCCAGCAACTCCAGCAAATCTGTTCCCACCGCTTCTTGTCTAATGCTTTCGCCATCGCCATCGCCATCGCCATCGCCATCGCCATCGCCACCAGAATCTCCTTCTTGGTCGTTGCCTCCACATCGGCGCCTTAGCCCTTATTCATTCGTCTTTGTCCTCTCCATGGAACCTGATCACATGTTCGCTCCACCAGCTGCTATACCTTAGCAATTTGGAATCCGTCATTCGCATCATTCCACCCTGATATCGCAGCATCGTTTTGGCTACTGCGAGACTGCATGTGATAATCAGACGAGGATCAGTACACCAAAGGTGGAGGAGGAGTCCTGTCGTCAATGAGCGCAAAAACAACCGAGGGAGTACACCAGAAGCCCATTGACACAACTCCGAGCCTACCACCACCTCTCATTACAATCAGATGGCCTGTTCTTCCCCCTCAAACAACCTCCCGACTCTATTTGTAACTCCTACCGCAATTCACTCTTACTGAAGCGCTCACCACCAGTTCGAACTCGACTATCACCTCGCGCTGTTGACGGCGCTGGTAATCGTCATAGTGCCAAGGTCTCCACCTGAACACTATGAACATGTCGCTTCCCTCCAAAGAAGCTACTTCCACTCCAGCCAGGCTGTCCGAAGCTCAAAGAACCACGAATAAAGCCGAGCATCCAGTGGACGCTCGATTTAGACGACTCAAAGCCAAAGTTCTTCCTGAAACGCCGTACATCTTACATGTTAGATCTACATATCGCCAAAGCCCAGAGCATGCGAACCTCTGGCGACTTGGTAGTCATTTCGATCCTAACGAAGAAGAATTGCAGTACCTCACTTTCAAAGACCGGACGAATGACTTGACCCCTGGTCTGTTTTGCCGTGGCGGGTGGGACGATGGAAAAGGAGGATTAGCACCGCCAGAAGAGCCCAACAGCAGAACTAGTAGCGACGGGACTCCACTTCAAGGGCAGGGTCAAAAGAAGAAGATCAGCTTGGCGGACTATAACAAAAGGGATAAGAACAAGGCTGTTGCAGCTACAACAAAACCCACAGGTCCGAAACCAAAAGAACATCAGAAAGATGACGCGAGTATCAAGGGACTTAATGCAAATGTCAAACTGCCAAAGCCTCTCCAGGTCGAGCAGCACGGTCAAAAGAGGTATGCTCTGCGGATGTTTAGAGGCTTCTTGGATACTTATATTTGTCAGATCGGCGGACGCGATAGAAGTAGGGAAAGATTCCAATGCTTCCGAGCAACCTCTAGCTGCTCCATCTGCTAAGAAGGCGCGAACCACGTCTGAGCCGCCCAACCCCGCATCAGCAGGGCCGCTCAAAGTTCCCCCTCAAAGAACAAGTGTTGAGATTGGCATCATCAAAGACTTATCTGATGCGCAAAAGGTCAGATCTCATGAAAGTCCTAAGGCTGAGAAGCCGCCGACAGAAAAGCAACCCGGTCCTGAGAAAGTCGTACCGAAAGAGAAGAAGACGGAGGCACTCAACCTGCATGGTCTCCCGCCAATGCTATCGCCCACACTACCTTCAGAGATCGAAGAGGAGCTCGCCAAGTTGAACCCTAGCATTCGAAGACGCAGTGGCAGCATCGCGAAGAGCAAAAGCCCTAACCCATCTTCCAAAATCAAGCAGCAGAAGAATGATACGGGCTCGTCAACGGATGAAGAGGGCGCTAAGTCAAGCGTCGGAGGGAAGGCTTATGCATTGAGCAAGACCAGCACGACAGCTTCCGTCAACTCTGTCAAACACCAACGGATTCAACCACAAGTGACCTCAGCTCCTCGTCAAGCAGCTAAGAACATTGTGTCAAACAAAGTTACACCTTCGAAACCGAATAAGCTTCTCATTTCTCCCGTCACCGCACCGGTAACGGCATCAACAACACCTCAGAGAATTGAGAAACGAAGATTGCGCCTACTTTTGAAGATCAGGAAGAAGACAAATCGCAAAAATCTTGCTCAATATCTAAGGTTGCCGCCCACACAAGGAAAGTACCCACACATCCGTCGAACGATAGAGCACGAACAGCGTTCAAGGACTCCGCAATCGGAGCAGAAGCATGCCAGCAATTCTCATGAAAATCGGCTCGAGATACAGGCGAAACCAAAGCGTAATGATCCAGAGGCTCCCAACGCTGGCGAAAAGCGGCGTGGGTCTCTAGATCGTAGAGACGAACCGGAGCTTCCCGCCAAACGTCACAAGACTCCAAGATGGGCTTCGCAAAGCGCTCATACACCGAAGCAACCTTCAACTAGCTCTCCCGCTCCATCGAATGTTGGAAGTACGCAGAAACCACAATTACTCACTCCGAAGGCTGATCCCAAGAGCGCCCCCATGCTGCGTGTTGAGTCCGGCGAAGGCTCGACCACCACACCACGAGGCCTTGCTCTGAATAGTACCCCCAATGTACCAGATGCTGGAAACCGGCGTAATTCTGTCACGTCGTCTGGTGGTCGCAAGCCTAGTCTGCAGGATGTGAAGCGTGACGCTAGCAAGTATTTGAAACAAGCAACAGACTTAAAGCATGCCTCGGATGTGTTTTTGAAGGAAATTCCGATCATGACTGATAGCGAACGTAAACGAGGCGTCATGATTGGTACAGAATCCGTACTCTGCTACATTCTGGCTTTCACCCTTTTTGATGAACCCCAACGACAATTTGGGCAGATTGGCAATATCGATGGCTGGAAGTCTATGCTTCGGCTCTTGGATCTCATCAACAGAGAAGCTCAACCGTTCAAACACCTGACTGGTCTCCTCCTCCAGCTCGAAGGCATCATTCGAGACTACATGGTCTGCTACGATTTCAAAAGACTCGATTACAATCCACTTGAGCAGAAATTAGCTGAGACTGCGGCCGCGGATCCTGCGAAGACGAAAGAATATTGCCAAGCTGCGGCATATCACGGGTCATTCCATGAATTCCGTCGCTGCTTCGAGAAATCGCAGAGTGCATGGCGTTCGGGACTGGACTTCTTGAAAATCAGCGACATCGAATCTGAATATCCCGTGACTTGGGCCAAGCGCGAACGACAGTTTCTTCTCCCTGTCAAAAGCGCAGATGCCGTAGTACAAGGCGAATATCAGCGGAAGTTTAATCTGCCCATGGGGTCAATGACTAGCGGTCTACAGGCTGTGAATTTTGGCTTGAGCTTTCTCGAGGAGTGGTCAAAGAAGAATGGGACAAAGTGGGAGCCAAAGCTTGAGCTTTAAGATATGCGATTTTATCATGATGGTAAAGGTGCGATATGGAAATCCATCTCGAGGCGTTGCAGGGCGAGTCTGGTAAGGGCATCTGTAGGGCAAAGCAATGATACTCATGATGAGAGGCTGAACATTGATACCATGTATTACGACAGGCATAGCGAGGTGGACTTTGCAGCACTTTTACGATTACCCCGGCTCGGATGAGCCAAGCGATAGTTTCATTAAAATACACGAGAATCTCGAAGAGGGTTGAGTGGGTTTTGATGGAGAGAGAAAGCGGTTTGACATCGGACAACGACACGATGTACACCGCTGAGGAAATCTCCAGAAGGGGCCTACCAGCATTGAAAAGAACAATGTTCAGCCGCCTTAATTCTCTCCGTGAATACTCGACACTGTGATCTCAAATAGACGACTGCGAACTTGGGTTTACATGCTCCCGGCGTGCAAGCTCAGTCGTTTCTAACATTACCCCTTCTTGACAGCTAGATAGGTACTCCGCCTCTGGCTCGAGGTGCCCAATCTACATTTCGCAATCTCTCTGCTCAAAATCCCCTCTGATGATGGATCTCACATTAGTACAACGAACAAGCTCCCTTAGCAGTGTCTTGACAGCTCACAGTACCATGGGGGTACTGAAGCCACGACCAGCTGGCCAAATCTCGATTTCACCCACGCCCTTTGAAGGTTCATCCAACACCCGAGGATTTCCGTAGTGCCTCATAGGAACGATAAAAAAACCAGCTCACCTGCTACACCGCTGCCTGCCCCTCCACCCTTGCTAACGACACCTGCTTTACTTCTGACACTCCCCCTCCAACATCCCACCCTTACTCTGTCCTCTGCCTCACCTCTGCAACCCCCGCTTTTCTCACATCTCCAACTGCGCCGAACAATACGTGGTACGTACACTTGGGAGCAAGATCTTCCTGTTTCACACGATATTTAGAATTGTGACCAGACAAGTTTCGGGAGTAGAAGTGTCCTTTTACTGCCCTAAAGCCGTCTCACTACCCGAGTATTCGCCCTGAAGAAGAGCCGCTGTCTCCGAACTATCCATAGAGGTATACCAAAGTAGTGGCATTCGGGTCGCCCACGACCGCGGCCCTCTTCCTTGCCTCCTCATCTTTAGCGCAAGCGAAATACCTAGCAAAAAATTGAGAAGCGATCGTGGAACAGTAAAAAGAGTGGCGGTGCGTTCTGTTCAATCTTTTTGTTGGGTAAAACAGGGGCATAATTTTTAGGGGAAGGCTTAGGAGAAGAGGATGCTGAGGTTGCAGAAGCATCAGGACAGGGATTAGTTGCAACAAGAAGAGGGAATTGATGGAGGCGAGCCAGATTGATCGCAGGTGGGGGTTGGATCTGATGAAGCTGTGGCGGGGGAGAACGCAATGATCGGGGAATGAACCTGTTAGGAAGAGCATTGATGGCCGTGAGGGAGAGGCTGACGGAGGAGAGGAGGGTCGATACAGACGACGAGGGAAGGAACGCCAAGACAGCAGAGATTGATTTTGAGGATGACCATGTGTCTTGAATTTGTGAGAGAACCTGTCTCGACGATCGGGCAACGATACAATCAGATGGCTTTAAGATACTGGTATTTCTATCAAGGAACACCAAACTCATCCCTCGATAGTTGTATTGGCAAGCTGGCAACCTCGCTACCACCGAAGAGGCGTCCACGTATGACTGCCTCCACTTCTTCACCTTTGCACCCATCAAAGTCCTCACTGTGGATGGCAAATTCCGTGCAATACGCCCTACCGAGCTCCTTTCCGCTAATCATGACATCAAAGTACGTGAATGGGCCCGTTGTCTTGCTCCACGGTAGGAATGCTGGGCGTGAATCGTCCGAGCCGCTCCACTTCCATGCCAGCCTTTTCTCGTGATCTGGAGAACGGCCTCGCTTCGTCACTCTCACGCCAACGATGGTCCAGCACGATTCCGCTTGACTTCTTGTTTTGATAGTGAGATTGAAGATCTGGCACAGCGCCAGTGGCTTTGGGTCTTCGATCAGGCCTAGACCATATACTCCAAATTCTACGAGGCGCGAGTCGGCGGTAGGGAAAGAGAGCATGATCGTCTTGTCCTGGACCTGGTTCGAACGTGGGGAAGATATTTCTACGTGGATGTAACAAAGTTTCTCAGAGTCTGAAATAATATAGCCCATGTAGAAACCTGGAGCTATGTCCGTGCTCGCTTCAAGACATTTGAACCTGATCGTAGCGGCGAGTGACTCATCGGCAAGCATGTTCAACTTAAAAAGGCATAGACGATAATGTGTTCCTCTTTGAGGATGTGAGCCCCATGATTCAATAGGGGCGGTCTTTTCGTGCATGCGGATGATCCTCGTATTCACGATTAGGCCTCCAGGAGCCTCATCTGGCAATTCTCCATAAAGCACACGGGTCGGAGGCCTATCTGACGCTTGCTCCCACGCTGGTAGCGACATGGGTAATAGATGAGGCAGTGGTCCCTGAGATCCAAGCATTGGGCGAATATGCTTCTCACTCTAGATACACGAACATGGCTTAATTGATCGTCATCAACGGACAACGAGGGCTTACCTGAGCTCCTGGATTTGCCACTCGTTGGAAAGCTCCATTGAAGTCGGTTTCGAAGAAGTGTGTCGATCCGGCAGGGAACTCGCAAGCGTGATTGACAATAGGAGTCCCGACGTACTCCCGTGTTTGATGGGGCAGTCCTTCGTGACAATCGCAGCCGAGGTCGGATGGTAAGCGCTTCCCTAGCCACAGAGCATGTTCAACGCGTTCTGCGGTGGACAGAGTAGATTCCGCAGAGGTGGAGAAATGCTCATGGGTCCAGGCTGGCCCAAAGATGGCTGTGGAAAAACCAGCCTCTGCTAAAACGCCCAAGGCCTAGATATCAGATTTAATAAGCTTTCATTCCTGAAATAAACATTTCGAATTCGCAAGGTGGTACGTTCGGTCAAAGATAGGCTGTGATTCTGAAGCTTACAAGCCCGGTGTTTGTCCCTCCTCCACCCTTCGGAGGAAAGGTGATTCGATGCGGACCTGGCATGTTAGTGTTCTGAGCCCACACATCAATACCAAAAAGGGTCTTCGTTGGATGAAGTCCATATACTTCACCCGTTGAGTCCGCTTCCTTCAAGGTTTTCATTGTCCATTTATAATTCGTGAAAAGTAAGTCCGCAGTAAGAGCGAAGGGAACGTTCTTCGGGGTCAGGCCATTTTGATGGTCGACTTCGTTATCAGTAGTCAAAGCATCATCTTCATGTTTTCGGAGTCAGTGTTACTTTTTCAAATAGGGTTTGAGTTACGAGGCCCATTCGGAGAGTGAGATACTTCCCAAAACATGTCTCACATCCCAGATTTCCCGGGAAAGATCAGGAAGGATTCATTCCGGAAAGTAGACTTACACCAGACAACGTTCCCTGCAGGCCCTAACAGAAGCTTGAGACTCCGAATCAATGCACATATCTTACTTGTAAGATCTTTGACGGATTTGGGAAACTCCAATTCGATATTGAGCAGCCATCCATCGAAACCGAAGACATCGGCCATAGCAGCTAGCTGTTTTGCTATGATGAACTCCCCATTCACTTGGTCCAGCATTCGCTCAACATTAAGTTTTCCGGGCTCAACGATGAACGTCCCTAGAACTTTGACACCATTGCGATGCATGGTGTTTATCCATGTAGGCGGTGGGACACATACGAGCTTGTGGGAGAAATAGACAAACGTATCGACGTATTGAGGGTAATTGCAAGCGTACAGTTTGTCCTTCAGCAGAGGTGGACGAACACTTTCGTAATCATGGTAGCCGCCGCTATAGTCATGGCACAGCAGTACCAAGGTAGTAGGCCTTACATGATCATGAACTCGAGAGGCCGAGCGTTTCAAGAGGGGCATGTTGGCCTGCTGGACTGGGTCGACATCTTCTGCTGACCAGGCTTCCACCTCGTCGAAGTCATCAAAGTAGACCAAACCTTTGAGTCCATCACGGAGTCTTTGTGCCCGCCGCTCTTCTCGTGATGGACCTGTATCTGCGGGAGGATTGATGATGTCTCTTAGCTTCTTGCCAACGTGCCACCCAATTCTCCTCCAATCAGGAAATCCAGTTGGAAGCATTTGATTATCGATTGTAGAGGCAGATGGTTCGCATCACAGCGAATGCCCATCTGATAAATTTCACATTAGACGAGGTTTGGTGGAAGAAGCGTAGAATTCCACTCAGATAGTCAAGCCTATCAATTCGGCACGCACCGCGGTGTAGCGAGTCTTACTTATGATCTTACCTCGAAGATATACCAACGTTCCCCGAGGATGGGAGTGAAAAAGGTCTGCTTATATGGAAGTGCGTCTGCTTGAAGTCCTCATCTTCGGTTGTTAGCCGTTTCTCCCTCAAGGCCTCCCGTTAAGGTGTCAATTATGAAGTTTAATTTTTTTTCGGTAATGAGACATATCCGATACCGGATGCATGTACCCGATAGCGAAGAAGATAACGCTACCTTATTCACTACTGTTCTTGGTGGGGTGTATACAATTTTCTCAGCGCCAAGGATTCAGGACCTTTGTGCATACGCTAATAAAGCGCGCTTTCCATTCCGCGGGATCCTTTAGCATCTCAAAGGCAATAAGGCACATATTGCAACTCGTCTACTTTTTGTGCCGTCTTGTTGCCTCATAGAGTTGACTGTTAAGCAGTGCAATTACTGTCACCAGCCATCCCACATGAAGTCCCAGGTCTTGTGAACATTGGAGCGTAGGATTTAGAAGGTGCAGGCTGTGCTTGCGAAAGATTGCCTTTCCTGCGCCATGGTTGGTTGGAGTCCCGGCCGTGCAAAAGCATTGCTTGTCCCGAATCTCCTTTGCTCGAAGCCCAGTCTGTGTTCCGTCATTATTCCGTCCTCTACGACTTTTACCTACTTCTGTGCTTTTGTCACCATGCGACTTGATTACCCGTCGTATGCCGCTTTACGCATTCTCTACTTTGCCATTATTCCGCGCAGCAAGACTTTATCGAGCCATGTTTTTTCATCAAGATATCCTCCCGAGAAGCCTTGGCGTCCGTCAAGCTGCCGGCGTCGTTGCCATTACCGAACTTTTAAGACAAAGTAATCATGCTTGTGGGTGCTAGATCATGGACCGAAGAACAACCGCGGTTATAGCCGCTGTTGGCAAATGGCTATATACTTTACCTTAGATGGTGGGGAACCGGCTTTCGCAAACAGCGGAGACAACGGAAGCGTGAGCTATAATTACTGTACGCTTCCTAAGAAGTTTTTGCTCGCCTAGACTCATTGCCAGCCTCCAGGAAATACACTACTCTCTGTCGACCTTTCTCGCAATTGGACAAACGCATCTGTGACAATACAGTCAAACAGCAGACCCAGCGGGGGTTCCTAACTTGAATAAACCCTCACTCTGGTATCAAGAGTCAGATGATTTCCTTTACTCTGGCTTTGCCGGCACTCTGCCATTTTCGGGTGGTCAGACTTCGCTGCCTCCTCTATCGCTATTGGCTTTGAAGCCCGACGGGCTCGGCGAGTCGGTGATGGGCCTGTAACTCGCCTTTCGGAGTTATTCCTTCCTATTCACAATATCCTGCATCAGCAGATTGCTCATTTTGCCAACCTTTTCACTCTCCAAACATGTCTTACATTCCGAAGTATATCTACAGATGGGAACGCTGACCCGAAGTGTGCTAGTGGAACGAGTTGGCGATTAAGGGATTCCAGACATTAAAACGCCCAGTCGGTTCTCTGACGACTTGCGGCTCAAACAGTGCATGGGCCATTGCAGGTTCCGACCCAAATCGAAATCACCTGCTGGGAATGGTATGTACATTTCCGGGTGACTCTTTCCTACCTTTAATCGAAGACCTGAATCGTAAGACGGTTTTCGGGAGCAAAGTTATCCTCCTTCCACTTCCTAGACCTGTTTCTTGATTCAGGGTCGTTGCCCTAAGAAGCAACGCCGACACAGAGATGTGCGTAGGTTCAATTTAACATGCAACAGCGAATATTCACAAATCGTAGTCTGGGAACAACCGCTCCGACGCTTAATGGGTAAGGGCGATCCTTCTTACCGTCTTCTTAACTAATCTCAACGTCACATGTCACTACCAAGTCGACCAGCACCTCAAAATCACCGGCACCTCGGCCATCAAAGTCTAGCGCCGGCACTGTTACAGGTGTTGTCGTTGGCGTCGTTTTATTTCTCGTAATTATCGCCGTCTTCGGTCTCTTTTTCTCACGACGCAGACGAAATCGGAGATCGGAGGACATACAAGTCAAAGCAAAAAATGAGGGTGTCTGTGAGCCCTGGAAGGAGCGCCATTTGTCTCATGAGTTGCACGGAAACGAGAAAGGGGCGGAATTGGACGAAGTTCTGGTGCAGGAGGTGCACGACAGACCGATAGTGGAGATGCACGGGGGAACGAGGCCAATAGAAATGGACGCGGCTGGTTGATGTTGATTGTTGATGGTTGAAGACTAAACTATTAGGGCGGTTCCACTTACCTGGTGATTGATGGACTGTCAGAATCTATAGGTCTGTCAGTCTGTGGAAGATGACGCCGGCTTCAGAAGTCAGTTGTATGGCTCTCGCCACTGCGAAAACAGGAACATGATCCGTAGTAGCAATCCGATGCTAGTGACGTGCTTTGATGTTTTCAAGGATTCCACATCAGAAAGAAGGCAAAAGGATGATTGATTCAAGCGAGCTAAGGCCTTGGCATTCACTGCAGTCTACTCTACCAGCGGACGGTACGGCAGTCGAAAAGTCTCGTCGCGCAAGGCATTTCATTCTCGGATCTCGTGTCCTTGACAGCTGTCAGCGGTCACTACGTATTCGATAATCTTCAGCCAAAAACTACCAATTAGACTGTAAACTCTTCGAAATAGACTGTTCCTCTTCTCAGAACATTTTGACGCCGCACTCCTTTTTCTCAAGGTTTGCTGGGCCTAAGCCAGCCTCCACCGCAACGATGAATATTTTCCGTATACTTGGTATGAAGCGCAAAAGCGTTGAGCTCTATCGTGGCTGCGATGAGTGTTAACATCGTCTAGCGGATCTCTCTCATCTCGTATCCATCCTGATACTCCTACAGAAGATGAAATCCTCACACGTGCGCTCTCTGTAGCCTCGTTCCCAAAGCCCCTTGCTAATCGCCCACAACAGAGCTGCTCAGGCATATCATTCAAATCGCAAGCACTTTACCTGATTGTCTACGCAACCCGCTACCTAGGTAAGCATTTCTCTTTGTAAAACTGCCTAGTCTTTCAAGCTCACTGCCCTCCAACAGACATATTCTGGACCTTTACTACCGGCTCGGTCTACAATACTACCTTTAAACTCCTTTTCCTGGCCTCACAATCCTACACCATCTACCTAATGCTCAACGACTACAAACCTACTCATGACCCTAATATCGATACTTTCAAGGTTCAATATCTACTTGGTGGCAGCGCAGTCCTCGCAGTCCTGTTTCCGTATCGCTATCAAATTACAGAAGTCGGTTTCCCTCTTTGCTCCACAGTTTCTTAGTGGTGATGCTAAAGCTTTTGTCCAAATGAAGATCCTTTGGTCATTTTCCATCTGGCTCGAATCTGTCGCAATTCTCCCCCAACTGTTTATGCTTCAGCGAACTGGTGAAGCCGAAACCATAACCACGCACTATCTCTTTGCATTGGGCCTGTATAGGGCGTTATATATTCCCAACTGGCTCTACAGGTACTTTGCGGAGGGATACGTGGACCAAATAGCTTGGGTGGCGGGGCTCGTGCAGACCGTGCTGTATTCGGATTTCTTCTGGATTTATTACACCAAGTGAGTGCTTCTCGAGCCGTGGAGCATGCAATGGAGTGGGACTGACATCTGGGCGTAGAGTGCTGCAAGGAAAGAAATTCAATTTGCCCGTATAAGAAATTCGGGATTGCAGGATGCTCATCACCGAAAAAACGCGTGGCAATGATGTCTGTAAGCTAATAGAATGTATGCATAGTGGGAGCTCTTCACGGTAAAAGCCTTATTGGGCACCTTCATCGATACCCCGTCACGCAAGCTTGATGCTTGAGGATTTTCGATAGACAATCGAATTCATGGGCACTTTTCGAGCATGGACAACTGTAACTCAATAGTACGACACATCAAAACATGTCATGCCCATAATTCATAATTCGTCATCATCCGTTTCCTCACCCTCATTCCCGGCCTCTTGAGTAAGCGTCAAATTATCCTCTGTCACTGGCCGCTTCACCTGCTCCCGCCTCCCGCCTTCTCCGAACGGCAGGTCCCTCATTGGCGGAAGGGTATCTAATTGCATTTCCTCACCAATAGCTCCTTTCGCTCCAGTAGCGGCCTTACTCTTGTCAGGCAGTCTGGCTGCCTGAGGAGCAGAATCTGGGTCATCACCACTTTCATCTTCAGTCACATCTTGATCAGACTGTTCAGGTGTATTTATCTGTTCCGACACGTCACTCTCTGGCTTTGGCTTGGAAGCCTGTGCTTTAAACCCGCTTTCTTCTGACGAGTCGGAGGCTCCGTGGCCACTCATTGCTTTTCGCTTCCCGGCCCGAGAAGCGGTCGCTGCGCGACGTTTCGAGGTTGAGCGAGCGTTTTGGAGTTTCGCTGCTTGTTTGGGATCGAACTTGGCACTAGCCAAAGTTCGTTGTTGGTCTCTGATCTTTAGCTTCTTGGTGTTAAGTAGCTCTCTGAAAGTTTGTAGAAGAGAATCCTCATGTTCTTTCTTGGCTTTGATCAAATCCTCGAGCTGATTGTTGAGCTTTTCCATCTTCTTGCTTTGCTCGTCATATTTTGAAGCCAGGTCTCTGACTTCTCTGTCCAATCGATAAGATCTTTCCACCGCCGTTCCTGTCCACCGTGTTATATCTAGCTCCTGACTCTCATCTTTCTTGAAGGCTACTTCGCCTAGCTTTTGAGTGATACCGGAAAAGTTGTTGCGGAAAATTATCGAGAGTTGGTCGCCAGCAAGAGTTGCATGGACTTCGAGCTTTTCGAGAGTGCTCGCTTCTGATCCTTGAATCCGGCGCTGAAGAAGGGTTGAATGCAACACGTTCTCCCATTGGTCGTCACTTAGTTGATTCTTCTTATCCCGGAGCTTGGAA